TTGGCATTCCCAGCCTGTTACCGCGCTTCTTCCTTCACAACCTCCACGCGATGGCAGGTCCACTCCGCCCCTCGTTCCACTGCCCCCTCATACAGCTGTGAGGGATACCTCTCTTCCAGCTTCTTAATGTGATGCCAGGATATGGCACTTGCTGCGTCATCGTTATCCATGTAGATGTACTTCTCCACTCGTAGTCCTGCCTTTAACACCACTGCTAACCCTGTGCTGATGCCTCCAAACAGCTCCAGAAGCACGATCGGCTTTTGAAACACCCTGCTATCCAAGTGTAACTGCTTCAGACTCCCGCACTCTCCCCACTGCTGTCGGTGCCAGTCACGGTATCGCCTCTCCTCTTCCAACTCTTCCCAGTTCATCCGCCCCAGCTCCTGCTCTGCCGTTTTCACCTCTGCCTGATAAGCCTCTCGCGGCTCTCGGCGGATAGAGCGCACCGGTAGCTCCGCCAGGCGTCCGTCATACTCCCAGTATGTCTCTCGGTACATCAGCTTCTCCTCCCACATGCAACTAGTCGAGCCGATGCTATAGAGAAACTTGACTCCCAAGAGTAGGTCGCACTGCAGCTTTGCGGAGCATTCCTCCGGGCTACCCCGCCTGATCATGATCTCGACTGTCGCCCGCGTCTTCGGCATCCACTTGGTTTTGCCGCCCTCCGCCGCCTTGGTTTGGCAGGGATAGCAGCCCTTCTGCTATCTGCCTCTCAGGCCTGTCTAGCTACAGCTGTTCTGCTAGCCGCTTCCCTATCATCACTGGATGGGCGCCTGTATCGATGATGGCATGCTTCACCGACAGTCCTCCCACCGTAATATACCCCTTTTCCGCCACCAGCACGGAACCGCACAGCTTAGCCTCTCCAGCGGGTGACGCCGAGGTGGTATCCCCTCCCTGGTCTCTCCCGCTCGCCGTCTTGGCCCGTACTCTTACTGCTCATCAATCCTCTGCCGCAGGTACCTCTCCCTCGGCCTCAGGCCCAGCTCGTCTCTTTCCCTAACAGGCCTTGCCATCAAGCAGTATTCTTCTTCGCTACCTTCCTCCTCCTCCTCTTGCCTCGCCACCATGGCCAGCCTCCTTTCTGTTCCTCTCTCTTGTTCTTCCAGCTGAGCGCTCAGCCTTTCAATCTCCACTCGCATTTCTGCCACTTCCCCCTTTTCCTTCGGGTCCCCTCGGTGCGAGTAGCAGTCCCGCTCTCCATGACCCTTCCTTCCGCATTTCTCGCGCGTGGGCGCCTCCGGGAAATCCCTCCTCAGATGATCCTCCTTGCCGAAGATGGAGCAAGCAGGTGGGTTGCGGCAGTCTCGCCGCAAGTGTCCGCCCTTGCCGCAGTTGTGGCACTTCCTTGTGTCCGTCGGTCCTCTTGGCGGCCGTTCATACTCCACTGGGCTGGCGCTCCCTCTCCGTAGACCTCTCACCCGTACGCTCCACCTCGAACAGCCGTCTACCGGTCTCCACCCTTTTTGCAGTTTCATATGCGATTCTCAGTGTCGCCGCTGCCCCCATCTCGAAGATCTTCACTTGTACGTCCCATTGCAGCTCGTAGTTCGGGCCGTTCAGAAACTTGCTGACGAGGCGTCCTTGATCCACGCAGTTCATATCCTCCCGAGCTCCACCAGCCGCCCATAATATGCCAGGAGGGATTCTCCCGATCTCCGCTTGAAATCTCGAAATTCGACGACCCACTCCGGCGTCGGCAACGGGAATTGATCGCGCAGCATCTCCTGGAATTGCTTCGTGGGATCTCTCTCCCTGGGCCTTCCTTGCTCCGCCCAATCCAGCAGCTCTCGGCGGCAGATCCGGTATTATGTCTCTACCTCTCCCGTCAGCGTGTTGGCCAGTCCTCTTATGAACTCATCTGCTGCCAAACGATCTCGCTCCCATCGCGCCCGTAAGTTCTCCAGCTGCATCAGGTAGTTCTTCAGTGACGGCCCTCGCTGAGTTTCTCCTGAGAACCGTTCTAGCACCTCCACCTTCGGAAGCATCGTGTAACGCCATCGCGTCGACGCTGCTTCTTTCTCAAAGACCTGCCACGAAGCACTACGTTGACATGGCCGATCGCTGCCTCTCCTTCCTCGCGTCGTCGCGGCGCCTTCCACAGAGACGGGCTTCTCCGCCCCGGCGCTGCCTCCTTCCTTCTTCGTCCCACACGGCAGTTCGCGCTCGACATCGGAGCCTGTGGATCCTCCCGTTCTCCCTGTCACGTCTCCTTCCGCGTCGTGCGCGCCTGTCTCTCCACCGGTTCCGAGCTCGTTCTTCCCGTCACCCTCCATCATTCTCGTCTCTGCTATCAAATTCTTTGCAGCGAAGTCTAAACCTGACCTCGTGGGCATGCCCTCACCGTCCGCAGATTGCTTATATGTGATGAGCTCTCTGCTCCTTCACACGCCACGATTCCCTAATCTCTAGCCTAAGGCATCATGCTCGTCATATCTCCCTAAAATCACAGCTTGCTCAGTATGCAGCAAATTACTCGTGTAACAAGGGCAACATACAAGCAATGAGAAATGTTACCAAGGCTCCGCCTATTCTACCAGCTCCTTCCACCGCCGTGTCTCTGACATGCCAACCTAGTGTACCCAGTAGTGCTTATGCACCTCTACGAGTAGACTTGCAGCCGTACTACTTCTTGCCCTCCTATCCCAACCCTTACTACTTTGCCTCCATCATCCAGATCCAGCTGGCTCCCTGTAGCAATCCTGCACACACATGGAAACAAACACGCATGCATTTGTCCACCCATCCATAGTTGGCGGTTAAGCTGCCTTCCCACTGCCTCTGCCTTGTTACACTGCCTTTCCTTGCCACCACCCTTCTGCTTACGTAAGTACCGCCCCACTCCTTCCCTTGCAACCCTCCGCCCCTCTGGCTTGGCAGGCATCCACCCTCTCGCTTCGTGAAGTACAGCCCTAACATCTGAACCCTCAGCGCCCTTCCTTGCTCCTCCCTGGCCCGCTATTTACAATGTGTACAGTATTTACACCACCTTTGTGCTTCCCCTTACCTATCGCATTCACATAAATGTGACAGCTCAGGTAAGAAGATGCTGGAATAATGTGACAGCAAATTCCTCAATTGGTCACCCGTCGTTTGCTTCTTCTAGCATCTGATTTCATATCGTTTGAGGCCGAATTACAAGGTTGGAAGATTCACAAAATGCCTGCTAGCTTCCACTCATTGTTTGATTTATACTATTTCTTACTCTTGGTGCTTGTATTTGCGCTGCTTTCAGCCCTTGATGAATGGGTGAAGATCCAGAAAGACCCAGTGTCTGCTGCTGCTGCTGCCGATGGTGCAACGAAAGGTGGCGATTCCACTGCAGCAGCTGCCAACACTGCTACTGCGAGGGAAATTTCTGCCTCAGGAAACACCACTTCAAAATCACCAGGCACGCCCAATAAGAGTGGGAGCCCTTAGAAGAAGGGAGGATGGCAATTCGTTAGAGAAAGGAGGGGGGAAGGATGGGGAGAAAGGAGAAGAGAAGGGAAACAGGAGGATTGGGGGGGCTGCGAGTGTAAAGAAGCCAGGGGAGGAAGTGACTGGGGGGAGGAGGGAGACGGTGAAAGAGAAGAAGGCGAGGGAGAGGAAGGAGAAGAAGCAGCGGGAAAGGGAGAAAGCGAAGAAGAGGGAGGCTGCTGCAAAAATGGGAAAAAATGGAAGAAGAAATGAAGTTGAGGGAGGCCATGGAAAAGGCAAAAAGGAAGGAAGCGGAGAGGGCAAAGAGAGCGCCTGAGAAGAGCATGAACAGGATGAGAAAAATGGGGAGCATGAGACTGAGTAAACTACTGCCAAGGGTAAACTAGGGTAAGAGCGGCAAGGAAGCAAACATAATGGGCTGATGAGTAGCAGCAAAATTGGCCTCTCTTATGGAGAAATCCTTGGAAGAGAATGCTTTATAATCGATTATGTAAATAATGCAATTCCTTTTGCTTGTAGAAGTAGTCAACAGAAAGACGTGCGCGTAAAACGAATTTGACGACTGAGATGGTTTCCCGCGAAAATGTGCACACGTGCTGGTTATAGGTTTCGCGCCTATAAATTTCCCGACTCGGCGATTTGGGCCTTGGGTTGGGTGGGAGATTTGCAGGTTTAGCGAGTTGGTTGCACGCTAGCGAGAATCAAGGGGCCAGTTGCCTTCCAGGGCTTCCTCTGTAGTATCCTTCTAGTTCCAGTCACAGGACTAAGGGAGTCACACGCCTGCCAAGCGCGACTCCATCTGTTCAGGGCGTGGCTGAAGTCGCATAGTTAGCCTTAGGTTTTTGTGGACACCTGACAACAATTTTGTTAGGGGTGTTGGGGCTCCTCTGTGAAATCTTGTTTTCCTGATGGGGCTTGCCTCTCGACGCGAGTCTGAACGCTTATGTGCGGGCAAAAGGCGGCGCGGCGCGGCGATGGAGCGCGAGTTGCTGCTGGAGATTGCGACGGTCGCGTCGACGGCGCAGTTGGCGTTCGGGCAGATGGCGACGCTGTGCCGCGCCGTTTTCAGTACGTTGTGCCGGCACCACAGAGAAAGTCCTTATTAGCCTCGAGTTAGCCTCGCATTAGCCTCGCATTAGCCTCGCATTAGCCCCCCATTAGCTTCGCGTTAGCCTCGCGTTCGGGCAGATGGCGACGCTGTGCCGCCCCGCCGCCGGTACGCTGTGCCGCGCGTTCAGTACGTTAGTTGTCTTTTGGGTCGAAACAAAAGTTGCAGCTTGCGTTCGGGCAGATGGCGACGCTGTGCCGCGCCGCCGCGGGTGCGTGCCACAGCGAGAGAGAGAGAGAGAGAGAGAGAGAGAGAGAGAGAGAGAGAGAGAGAGAGAGAGAGAGAGAGAGAGAGAGAGAGAGAGAGAGAGAGAGAAAGAGAGAGAGAGAGAGAGAGAGAGAGAGAGAGAGAGAGAGAGAGAGAGAGAGAGAGAGAGAGAGAGAGAGAGAGAGAGAGAGAGAGAGAGAGAGAGAGAGAGAGAGAGAGAGAGAGAGCAAACCAAGCTTAGTGCTCGTGGTTTTACGCGCACATGCCGTGCGTCTGTGCTACGCGTGCGTGTGCGCTGCGCGTGTGTGCTGTGCGTGTGTGCTGCGCGTGCGTGCGTGCTGCGCGTGCGTGCTGCGCGTGCGTGCCGCGCGTGCGTGCTCCGCGTGTGTGCCGCGTGTGTTCCGCGTGTGTGTGCCGCGCGTGCGTGCTGCGCGTACGTGCCGCGCGTGCGTGCTGCGCGTACGTGCCGCGCGTGCGTGCTGCGCGTACGTGCCGCGCGTGCGTGCTGCGCGTACGTGCCGCGCGTGCGTGCTGCGCGTACGTGCCGCGCGTGCGTGCTGCGCGTACGTGCCGTGCGTGTGTGCTGCGCGTGTGTGCCGCGCGCGTGTGCTGCTGTCTGTGGTAGCATCGCTTAGCATCGCGGACCAGACGCAGATCACATCACATTAGCCTTGCGTGTCCATGCATCTCTTCGCCATCTCGCATCCGTCGCGAATGCTTCTCCTCATATTGCATCCCTTCGCCGCCATTCCAGACTGCTTGCTCTCCGTTCTTCGAACCTCCCCCTCTTCCCTCCTCGTGTTGTATCCCCTCTTACTCCCGCTTTCCTCTACCTCTTTTCCAGCCTTTTTAAAGTCTTCCCGCTTCTCCTCGCTCCCCCCGCTCCCCCCTTACCCTTTCCCAGATCTTGTTCCGCCATTTCTCCTCTCCCCTTCCACCGTTCTCCCCCCCTCCCACTCCCCCATCCCCTCCCCCCCTACCCCTTTCCCAGCTCTCGTTTCGCCATTACTCCCCTCCCCCTCCACCGTCCCCCAACTCCAACCCATAACCCCTCCTTCCCCCTCCTTTCCCCGTGTTCCCCCCCCCCCTCCTCCCCCTCCTTTGAACCCAACCCTTTCCCGGCTGGGGCGCGCATCCCCGCAGTCGCCATGGCGGAGCAGTTGGCGGAAATGAACCTCTTTTTTCCCTTATTTTGTCTCAGCTTCCTCCCACCCCCTATCCCCCCTTCCCCCCTGTCTCCCCCGGTCCCGCTCCCCCCCTCTCCCCACCAGGCGGGGCGCGCATCCCAGCGGGCGCCACAGCGGATCTGCTGGTAGAGCTCGCAGCCTCCGCCACCATGGTCCCCGCCCACATCGAGGCGCTCGCGCGCGCCGCCAGCTACCCCGGACCGGATGCTGCTGCCAACGCCGCGAACACTGCGCCTGCTGCTGCTGGCTACCCCAGACCTGCTGCCGCGAACAGCGCTGTGGCAGCCATAGCTGCGACGGGTGCGGCTGGTGCGACCGCAGCAGCTGGTTTGCCAGCTGAGATGGATGAATTTGCTGCGATGGTTGCGACGCTGCCTGCCCGTATCGCCGTGTTCACGGACTTGGTTGCAGTTGCTCTAACGCGTTTGCGAGAGCGGGAGGCGAGGGAGGAAGAAGCGAGGGAGGAGGGGGAGAGGGAAGAGGGAGAAGAGGGAGAGGAGGGAGAAGAGGGAGAGCAGGGAGAAGAGGGAGAGCAGGGAGAAGAGGGAGAGCAGGGAGAAGAGGGAGAGGAGAGAGAAGAGGGAGAGCAGGGAGAAGAGGGAGAGCAGGGAGAAGAGGGAGAGCAGGGTGGGGACGTGGCGGTGGGGCTGGTGGAGGGTGCTGAGCGGGCAGAGGAGGAGACGAGGGTTCACAGGGATGAGGAGGAAGAGCAAGGCGAGAAGGAGGGTGAAAGTGGGGGAGAGAGGGTGGAAGAGAGCAACAAGGCGGGTACAAGTGCAAGTGATGCGACGGGGGTGGGCGGCAGTGCTGATGTGTTGCTGGATGGTGATGATGAGGCGGAGGCTGAGAGAAGAGTCATGCCGTCTGCCAGAGGGAGTGGCAGGAGGGTGAAGCGGAAGCAGCAGAGGCAAGGGAATGAGGGAGCGGGTGGTGGTGCTGCCGAAGGCAAGCGGTCAAAACGGAGGATGAAAAAACTTTAGTCAAGGTGGACATTAGAAAGTTGATTCAAGGTTAGTCATGGTCAGTTGCATAGAGAAGTTGTGCCAGGAAAACTCTTGCTGCCTCAGTAGGCTAAACTGGTGGTTCCTTTTTCATTGCACCCTCTATTCTGCTCTTCAAGTGCACAACAACCCATTCATGTTTACAATGCAAAGCAGAATTACAAGCTACAGCATAATCTGTAGCCATACTTCACTGTACTTATCCATGTTTTGAAGTTATGATTTGGATTTCGCTATCGTCCAGCCCTCGCTGCCCGAAGCACGAAAAGCTTTCGTCAGGCGTCGCCAGGTCACCTCTGTGTCAGCTTTGTCGTCGCACATCCCAGGCTTGATTCGTGAGAGACGATGCTCGAACCGAGGAAAGAAGCCCTAGCACCGAGCACCACCTTTGCTGACCTAACGTGCGAGTCGCTTCGTGACATCAGGTAACTTGCTTTGGCGGGAATTCGGGAAACGAGAAGTCCTCCTGTATTTCGTTCTCTCCTTGAATCGAGCCTTGTGGTTTCGGCTTGCATTTCTGCTTTTGATGGCAGGCAAACTGGGTGAAAGTTGGTTCATCTGTTGAACCCGTCAGGACAATCACTCATTCTAGGCCAAGACTTGTCCGTTCATGTGAAAGCCTTTGAGTTGAAGTACTCAGTGTTGTTACGTTAAAAATTCTCTTCGACTGGCCATGGACGGACAGAGCAGCGGCGCGCAATGCGCGGGTAATGGTCAGCGCGAGAAGCTGCTGGCGATGGCGAGCGTCGCCAGCAAAATGCAGGTCGCGTTCGGCGAAATGGCGTCAGTTTGTCGCCTCGCTGCAGGTCCGTGCTCCCACAGATCGTCGCACGGGTGTCGCGCGGCTGCTTCCACTGCTGGCAAATGTCGTCCGCGTGTCCTGCTTGAGCGGAATTCACACTGTGTCCAATTCCCGCCAGAGTTTTTCTTCTCCGATCTGCTCTTTTTTTCGGCCAGTTCTCTTTTGTTCGCGGAATCTTCATCCCGCATTCATTTGACGTGACTTACTAGCTCGGCCAGATCCAACCGACACTCAATCTCGCAGCCATTTTTCCGTCTGGATCGCCTATTCGCTCGTAATGCGCTTCAAACTTCTGACGAACGAAGAGCTGTACAACATTTTCCCCCGATCTTGTTAAGCTTTTCGTTCTCGTGACCAGCTGCCTATCGGATCGGCTACGTTGCGTCCCCTTCCCCCTTCCCCCCTCCACCCCCACCCCCCTTGGCTCAACCCCCAACACCACCCTCTTCCTCCGGCCCCCATCCTTTCCCCATCCTCCGCGCCCTCCTCGCTCTCCCTTCCCCCCTCCCCGCCCTCCCTCTCCCAGCCGGCGAGTGCGTATCGACGGACAACCTGCTTCTGCGCCAGCTCGTCTTTTGGGACTTCTCAACCCCCAAACCCTCAGCCCCCCCAGTCCCTCGCCCCATCCCCTCCCTCCTGCCGGCGAGCGCGTACCGACGGATAACCTGCTGCTGCGCCATCTCGGCTTTTGGGACTTCTCAACCCCCAAACCCTCAACCCCCCGGGCTCCCTCCCCCTATCTGCTCCCTCCAGCCGGCGAGCACGTGCCAAGGGACAATCTGCTACTGCGCCCACTCGACTTGCGAGACGTCTCAACCTCCAAATCCTCCCCACCCCTTTCTCCCCAACGTTTTTCTCCCCCCTCCCTCTGCTCTCTCTCTCCCCCCCCCCCCCCCCCCCCCACCACCACTCCCCATGTCCCCCAGCCGGCGTGCGCGTGCCGAAGGAAAACCTCCTGCTGTTCCAACTCGTTGCCACCGCTGCCCTCTCCGCTCCTCTCCCCCTATTCCCCATTTTCCCCGGCCCGCTATCCTTCCCTCCCCACAGCCGGCGTGCCGCGGAAAGCCTCCTGCCGTTCCAGCTCGACTTTAGAGACTTCTCAACCTCATACCCCTCCCCTCCCTCCCCTCTCCCTCCGCCCACACACTCCCTCAACCCAGCCGGCGTGCGCGAGCCGACAGAATACCTCCTGTTCCAGCTCGCCTTATTAGACGCCTCAATTCAACCCCAAACCCCACCCCAACCCTCACCATCTCCACCCCTCTCCTCTCCCTCCCTACAGCTGGCGGCGCCCATGGACAAACTCCTGCTGTTCCAGCTCACCTTTTGAGACGGCTCAATTCAACCCCAAACCCCTCCCAAACCCCCTTCCCCCACTTCCCCCTCCCTCCCTACAGCTGGCGTGCGCGTGCCTATGGACAAACTCCTGCTGTTCCAACTCACCGCTCCCCTCTTCGACCCTCTTCGCCTCGCCGCCCTGCAATCCACAACTTCCCCCGATCCCGCGGCTGCGCCTGCCGCTGCGCCTGCTCCCGCCGTCCCCGATCAGCCGCGCCTCCCGATCCTGGATTACGCCAGTGTTGCTGCTGCTGGCGCACGAGAAGAGGAGAGCAGAGAGGAGAGAGACGAGGAGAGGGGAGAGGAAAGAGAAGAGGGAGACAAGCGAAAGGAAGGAGTAGAAGGAGAGGAAGGAGAGGACGAGGCACTGGGATTGGAGGGTACTGAGCAGGCAGAGGAGACAGCTTGCAGAGATGAGGAGGAAGAGCAAGGCGAGAAGGATGACAAGAGTGGAGGAGACCAGGGGGAAGAATGCAACAATGCAGGTGATGGGAAGGCGGTGGACGGCAGTGCTGACGTGTCACAGGGTGGTGCTGAGGAGGCAGAGGCGAGGAGAAGAGTCAGCGAGACCGCCAGGCAAGATAATGAGGACACGGGTGGTGATGCTGCTGAGGGCAAGCGGTCAAAGCGGAGGAGGGTGAAGAAAGTGCTGTGATGTGCATACCACAAAAAGATTGAGGCAGGTTTAGGAATTTGATTTAAGGTGGATGTTAAAAATTATGTAGGTTTAGGTGTGTACTGTACAAAACAATATTCAAAGTTGAGATTTTGAATCTACTCTTCCTGGCATGCTGCCTTCGCGCGTCAGGCTTTTGGATTTTCGTCAGCCGTCGCCGAGTCACTGGTGTAGCATTCTCGTCCGCGTCGCTCACTACGAACCGCAGCAAGCAGCCCTTTCACCGAGCACCACCTTTATTGACCTGCATCGTGACATCAAGTAACCCTTCGGCGGAGAGTTTTTGAAAGGAGTCGACCACCATTTGAATCGACCGTTTGAATTTTGACTTCCATGTGTGAGACAGTAATGACAGTAATGACAGTAACTTCTGTCGATCAGTTGAACCTTCCTAGCGCTTTAGGTCAAAGCTACTCTGTGGGGTGGAAGTCTTTAGGTCGAAGATTCAGTTCAGCTCATTACGTGTCTAATCTCTTTGACGAGCCATGGACGGACAGAGCAGCGACGCGCAATGCGCGGGTAATGGTCAGCGCGAGAGGCTGCTGGCGTTGGCGAGCGCGGCCAGCAAAATGCAGATCGCGTTCGGCGAAATGGCGTCAGTTTTTCGCCTCGCCGCAGGTCCGTGCTTCAGCAGTCGCACAATCGCAGAGACCGTCGCACAAGTGTCGCGCGGCTGCTTCCACTGCTGGCAAACGTCGTCGTCGTCATCCTGCTTGAGCGGCATTCATGCTATGTCCAATTCAGTCGGTTTTTTTTTTAATTATTTTCTTTTCTTTTTTCGATCTGCTCTTTCTCGTCACATTGTCGTCCCGAAAATCTTGTTCGGCACTCACTTGGTGTGTCTTACTACCTCGGGTCAGATTTAACATACATGCAATCGCGCAGCCGCTTTTCCGTTTGGATCGCCTATGCGCTCGTGATGTATTTCACACAAGAACTGACAACCGAATAACAGCACAGCCAATTTCTCCATTTCTGTTGAACTTCACGTTCGCGTGATCAGCAGCCCATTGGATTGCCTACATTGCGTCTCCTTCCCCTCAATCTCCCTTTCCCACTCCTCCCTCTTTCCCCCTTCCGCTCCCCTCCCCTCTCGCCCTATTCCTCTTTTTCCCCGGCCCCCTACCCTTCGTTTCCCCCCGCCGACGTGCGCGTGCCGACGGACAATCTGCTGCTCGACTTTTGAGACGTCTCAACCCCTCAACCCCCTCGCCCCCCCTTCCCCCCCCTCCCCACCCTCCGCCCACGCACTCCCTCACCCCAGCCGGCGTGCGCGTGCCCATGGACAACCTTCTGCTGTTCCAGCTCGCCGCCACCGCTCCTCTGTTCGACCCTCTCCGCCTCGGCGCCCCGCAACCCACACCTTCCCCCGCTTCCGCACCCGCTACCGCGCCTGCCCTCGCTCCCGCACTTGCCTCCGATGCCGCGCCTGCCCCCGGCCCCCCTGATCGTCCGCGCATCACGATCGTCGATTACACCCCGCCGCCGCGACGCCCTCTTGCCGCCACCAACGCCCCCCGCGCGCGTCCCGCACTCTCAGACGTCTCTCTGGCCTCCACTCTCACCACCGCCTCCCACGCCGCTCCCCTCTCCCCCACTAGCGCGCGCAGAGCCTCTCCTCCCCCGTCCGGCGCGATCCCCCCCCCCAGCGGAACCCTACCCCCCGGAGCAGCCGAGGGGCGGCCGCTTTCAGCGATTGAGATGGCTATGGAACAGTTCTGTGAGTTTGAGAGCGGTAGGCTGATGGAAGAAACGCCAGGGATGCGGCTGGAGCAGGCTTACCGCCTGGCTGAGAGGCGGTTTGCTGAGATGACGGGGCGGACTGGGGTGAGAAGGAGGAGACGCGTGGAGGGCGGGTGGCAGGCAGTGTTGGGGACGGTGGGGGAGGAGGTGGGGGAGGTGGTGCAGGGGGAGGAAGTGAGAGGAGTGGAGGTGGAGGGGGAGGAGGTGAGTGGAGAGGAGGTGGGGGAGGCGGAGGGGGAGGGGGAGCAGGAAGGGGAAGGGGAATGGGAGGAGGGTGAGGGGGAGGAGGCGCAGGAGGAGGAACAGGGGGAGCAGGAGCAAGAGGAGGAGGAGGTGGAGGAGGGGGAGGGGGAGGAGGGGCAGGAGGAGGGGGAGGAGGAGGGTGAGGAGGAGCAGGAGGAGCAAGGGGAGGAGGAGGAAGAGGAAGGGGAGGAGGAGGAGGGGGAGGAGGAGGAGAAGGAGGAGGAGCAGGGAGGAGGGGATGGGGGTGAAGAAGAGAGGGAGGAGGGGGATGTTGGACAGGGGGAGACGAACAGTGAGTCTGAAGAGGGAGAAAACGAGAGCTAAGAAGCAGTGTGAGAGAGAGGAAAGCAGGAGGCATGGCCAGGAGGAAGGTGCTGTGAGAAACATGACAATACGAGGAAAGTGAGATTCAAAAGAGAAGCAGATATGTTGGAGAGCAGAGCAAGGAGAGTAACCGGGGGGGAGAGCGAGGTGGAGGTTGAGGGATTGGAAGGTGTGAGGATCATGGCAGGTTGATCCCTGTCGCTGCTGCAGGGGATGCACCGTGTTGGGTGTTACAGGTACCTCCTGTGTGCGTGCAGGAAATGACATGCAGTGCGTTAACTACTCATCCACGTAATTTTGACCGACTTGATTTTGTAATTTCTGTTTTGCGCTGTAAATGAATCCTGGAACCGTGCTTTGCATTTGAAGTTTAGTTATAACCGTATATGTGGTGAATGCAATTGTGTCTAATTAAAGGATTTATTGAGGTTTAGAATCACAAATCAACCATTTGGCTTGCTTGTTGGGAACGCCAATATATCGAAGCTCTTGAATGTCGCATCTGCGATGTGGCTCCAGCACACAGGTCAGGTCCGCCACCTGGCTTCAGTTAGCGTCTCGGAAAACCACGTAGGCACCACATAATGAAACATCTTTGATTCGTCAGCCAGTCGTATGACATTGACTTACGACCCTCGACTTCCGAACCGTACATCCAACCAGACGACGTTTCTTGGTCTGGCTCGAAAGCCAGCCGTTTCGGTTCAACCAGGCCTGACTCCGTTGCGTGTCTGCCATGGCAGAATCTCTCGTGGGCTTCCAAGGCTGGTTCATTAGCCGAACCTCTCTCATCCACCATGTCGAATCACTGGCATCTCTACTCACACGCACCCAACCAAACCGAACCTCGTTGCTGCCGCACCTACACCCCAAACCGGCTTACAGCAGAAATGTTGGAAAGCAAACTAATAACTATCACTCCCGGACTTGTTCGTGCTAAATTAGTTGCATGCGCTCCGTGTTAGCTTCGGAAAACTCCCTGCTCCGATATATAACCTCGGCGTTTCTGCCAGCGGCGAGGTTTGCGAAAGGTCAAGTTGTTTGTTAGCTAGATTCCAGCCTGGCCAATTAGCTCACATCACTAACGGAGCCTCGTAACTAGTACTAGTACCGCACGCATAGTTTCGCAGTTCGCGAATTTCGCACAAAGTGACTACAGCGGGGTTGGCGATGGCGACACGCGTCGCGCCATACTTGGAGACGTCTGGGCCGGCAGTGCAATCACCCGACACCAAGCCGCCGCACCTCCAACCGAAGCGCGCGGTAGAATCTACTACCGAGACTGGCGGCGCGAAGGCGGGAGCGGCGACGGCAGGCGGCGCAGCGGCGGATGCGGCTCTCGCGGCTCGGTTCGCCGCGGCGCGGTTCATGTCGGGGTTCGGCAACCAATTCGAGAGCGAGGCGCTGCCCGGCGCGCTGCCCGCGGGGCGCAACAACCCGCGCGTGTGTCCGTACGGGCTGTACGCGGAACAGTTGACCGGGACCGCGTTCACCGCTCCGCGCAAGGAGAACCAGCGCAGGTGAGGGGGGGGCTCGTGGGGGGGAGGAAGGGGGGGAGAGGGGGAAGGGGGGAGGGGAGCGCAACAGCTCACGTGTGTGTCCGTATGGGTTGTACGCGGCTTACAGGGACCCCGTTCACAGCTCTGCGCAAGGAGAACCAGCGCAGGTGAGGGGTAGGAGGGTGGGGAGGGGAAAGGACGAAGGGGGGCACAACAGCCCGCGCGCGCGTCCGTACGGTCTGTGCGCGGAGCAGCTCTAAGGAACCGCGTTCACTGCTCCGTGCATGTTGGGGGGAGGGGAAGGGGAGAGGAAAAGGGGAGGAGACAGGGGAGAGGAGAGGAGAGACGAAGGAGGGATGAGATGAGAGGTGTTAGGAGAAATTACTTGTGAGAATTCTCATGTGTGCAAGCAGTCAGCTCTATCACTCCCTTATCCGTGCACTTACTTACAGACAGTAGACCCACCAATATGAAAAATTCGACCTCCCTCCCATACTCACATGCCCACCAGGTTCCCTTCCACGCCTTCAAGAATTTCACCTTATCCCCGCCCTCTTTCCCCCTTAGCTGCCTGTACAACCGGCCGTGTCCATCATGCCAGTCTGTGTGTCCAATCCAGCCGGCCATTCAACCCATGCGAGAGATTTCTGAGAGCTCTCAAAAGCTTCCCCCTCCACTCTCTCCCCACTCCCCCCTTTCCTTCCCCGCTCCCCCAACCTTCCCCACCCCCCACCAGCTAGCTGGCTGTACCGCATCACGCCCTCGTGACACACCAGCTGATCACAACGTGGGCAAGATCTTTGAAAAATCCAAAAGACTCCTCCCTTCTCCCTCCCCTTTCCCCCTCCTTCCCCCCTCCCTTTCCCCTTCCTCCTCCCGCTCCCCCCTCCCCCCTCCTGCCTCCCCCCTTCCCCTTCCCCTTTCCCCCCTCCTCCGTGCGCCCCACCAGCTGGCTGTATCGCATCAGCCCCTCGGTGACCCACCAGCCCTTCACCCCGTGCCCACCGCACCGCAGGAACCCCCTCCTTGTAACCTTCCCCCTCTCCCACCCACCTTCCTCTCTCCCTCCCCCTCCCCCCAGCTGGCTGTATCGCATCAAGCCCTCAGTGACCCACCAGCTCTTCACCCCGTGCCCTCCGCACCGCAGCAACCCCGAATCATGCCATGGCCTTCACTCCACTGCACACGATAAGGTTCTCTTTCCCACACTCGTCCCCACTCCCTTCTTCCCCCTTCCCCCACTCCAACCCCTCATCCCCAGCAGGTTGTACCGCATTAAACCGTCCGTTACCCACCAGCCGTTCACCCCGTGCCCTCCGCACCGCAGCAACCCCTGAATCGTGCCATGGCCCTCACTCCACTGCACACAATAAGATATCTGATTACTCCCTTCCCCACTCTCCGCTTCCCCCTACCCCCACTCCCAACCCCCATCCGCAGCTGGTTGTACCGCATTAAACCGTCCGTTACCCACCAGCCGTTCACCCCGTGCCCACCGCACCGCAGCAACCCTCTTCTCGTGAGCGACTTTTCTGCCGGCAGCTCTGCAAGCGAGGCAACACCGAACCAGCTGCGCTGGCGCGCCATGCCTGTGCCGGGCCTGGAGGTTCGGCAGGTGGACTGGGTGCAGGGCCTGGTTACCGTGTGCGGGAGTGGCGGCGCTGCAGATAAGACGGGCTTTGCCATTCACATGTATGACCAGCCGTGCTTTGCTTTTGCCAATTGCTGTGCATTTTTCTTTCCTGAAATCTCCTTTTCATCTCTTCACGCCTTCAACCCCTCACACCCTCCTCATCCCCTCCTAGCACCATCCACACACCGTCTTCACCCCCTCCTCACCCCCTCCACTTTTCAACCCCTCCTCGCAGCATCCACACACCCTCAACCCGCTCACTCTTTCACGCCCTCACGAGCTCTCGCCCTCACCTTCACTCCCTCTCCCCCTCTGCTCCGTCACCCTCTCACACTTCCCACTCGCACACTCTGTTCGCTCCTCGCCTCTCTCCACCCACCCTCCTCTCGACTGTCCCTTCCGCTAGCTTTGTCCAGCCCTGTTAAACGCATGAAGTGAGTGTGTCTTGTTTGTGCATGGCATGGCATGGCATATCATCATGGCATGGTATATCATTTTAACGTCCTGGCGTGAGGTCATTTCGCCATTATGACGTGGTATCACGTAGCATGACATGTGTTTGGCATGACATGGTATCACGTGGCATGACATGTGTTTGGCATGGCATCATGGCATTGTGGCATGGCACGGCATGGCGTAACATGGGACGGCATGGCATGGAATGACGTATCATCACGGCACGGCAGGTATGCAGCCAACAGCAGCATGGAGCGATGTGCATTCGCCAATGCGGACGGGGACTTGCTCATTGTTCCGCAGCACGGCCGTGAGTCTCCGTGGCCAGTCTATGCTCCACTGCCCCATGCCCCATATCCCATAGCATGCGCCACTGCGTAGCCCTTTTATCCAAATTCCAATGCTGACAGGAATCTGCTGATCGTTCCGTAGCACGGCCATGAGTCCCCTTCTCATGCTCTCTTGCTTGCGCTCTGAAGGATTAGTGTTGGGACCACGAAACGGGTACGCGGCAAAACTTAAATGTGCCAGCCGGAACCTAGGTTTGCCCATCAATGACCATCAACGTGCTGTTCTGCCACTAGACTACCGGCACACGAGCCATGGGAGTTGTTTTATTACACACATGTATGGAGCAGCATCATGGACATGCACAAGTGCGAAAAAAATGTGGAAAGTTATTTTTAGAAAAGATGGGTGGATTTGTGCTGCGACCACAAAGCGCTACGCGGCAAATGGCAGAAATGTGCCAGCCGGGAATCGAATCCGGGTCTGCACCGTGCTGTTATGGCAGGGTGCTATTCTACCACTAGACCACTGGCACTCAATTGGATGACAGCTTGCCCCACTGCTTTCCCCATAGAATTGCACCGGCTTCTTTCAAATGCTCCACCCCTTTATGCTCCATCGCATGCCCCATTGCACGGCCCTCTCGTCCTGAAGACTTAAAGATACAAGCTTGGACGTGGCGGTGGATGTTAAAATATCTGGAGAGCAACGTGGAAGGGCTGAATGAGTAGCTGAAGAGTGAGGGGAGAGGTGGGGATTAGAGGGAGATCAGTTAACGTCTAAGGTTGCAGAGTTGGAGAGGACGGAGGACGGGCATGGAGATGGGTTGCTAGCAGTGCGCCCGGGCGAAATAGCAGTGGTGCAGCAGGGGGTGCGCTTCTCAGTGCACCTGCCTCACCTTTTGAATACTCTCCTCACAACAACCAATGACCCCACACCCCCATCCGTGCAGGCCTGTGGGTGGCAACGGAGTTTGGGTTGCTGGCAGTGCACCCAGGAGAGATAGCGGTGTTGCAGCAGGGGGTGCGCCCCCCCTCTCTTCCAATGCCCCAATGCCCCCATTCTCCCTCCCTTTTCCCTGCAGGCCTGTGGGTGACAACAGAGTTCGGGCTGTTAGTCCACCCGGGCGAGATAGCAGTGGTGCAGCAAGGGGTGCGCCTCTTTTCCAATTCCCCCAATGCCTCCAATTCCGCGATAACCCAATGCCTCCCTCCTCTCCCGCTCCTCAATCCCTCCAGGCCTGTGGGTGACAACAGAGTTTGGGCTGCTAGCAATCCACCCGGGCGAGATAGCAGTGGTGCAGCAGGGGGTGCGCTTCGCAGTGCATCTGCCTGACGGCCCCTCTCGGGGTTATGTGTGCGAGGTGTTCGGGGGGCACTTTCAACTGCCAGACCTCGGTCCAATAGGTATGACTCGCATTTCTCAGCCCCATCTCAGCAATGCATCTGCCTGACGGTCCTTCTAGGGGTTATGTGTGCGAGGTGTTTGGAGGACACTTTCAGCTGCCAGAGCTTGGCCCCATTGGTAAGACACACACTTCTCAGCCCCATCTCGGCATCTCAGCAGGAGGTAAGCTTCTCAGTGCATCTGCCTGACGGCCCCTCCCGAGGCTACGTCTGCGAGGTGTTTGGAGGGCACTTCCAGCTGCCAGAGCTCGGCCCCATTGGTGAGGCTTCTGGCTTGACTCGAACTTCAGGGGCGATGGGCTAGGGGCTATGTGTGCGAGGTGTATGGGGGGCACTTTCAGCTGCCAGGGCTCGGCCCAATAGGTATGATTGAAATCCAGGAAGGGGGGGGGGCTACGTGTTCGCAGTGCATCTGCCTGACGGCCCCTCCCGGGGCTACGTCTGCGAGGTGTTCAGGCGGCACTTTCAGCTGCCAGAACTTGGACCAATCGGTAAGGCTCTTCAAAACTTGAGGCTCGCCCCCTCCCGGGGCTATGTGTGCGAGGTGTTTGGAGGGCACTTCCAGCTGCCAGAGCTCGGCCCGATCGGTATGTGCTTGACTTCAATTCCAGGTGCGATGGGTTATGCTACGTGTGCGAGGTGTTGAGAGAGGGCACTTCCAGCTGCCATCGGTAAAACTCTTAACCTGAGTCAAGTTTACATTCCAGGGGCTGTGTGCGAGATGTTTGGCACTTCCATCTGCTAGAGCTCGGCCCATTAAATATGACTCCACTTGACTCGAAGCACTTTCAACTGCCTGAGCTTGGCCCAGTCGCTAGGACTATTTACTTGACATTAAACTCAGGGGAATATGATATGCGAGGTGTTTAAGGGGCACTTTGAACTTCTTGAACTTGGCTGTATCGGTGATACACTCGATGCGCGTTAGAGGCATGCCACCCTTGCCGTATCAAAGCGAGCATAGCTACATAGACTTTTCGACCACCTCGCCACCTTTCGCCACGGGAAAAAAGTGGACTGTAAGTGAGAAGTGATTCGACCCGCTCAGAAAGATTCTCGAGTCGAATCGAAAGGTGGGGGTTATGGGCATTGCGTGGAATGTGTTCGGGGGACACTTTTTACTGCATGAACTGGGTTCAATTTGTTTGACTCTTGATATAACTGAAAGGCCAGGGGCTACGTGTGTGATGCATTTGGGGTTCGAATGTCACTTTTCTACTTCCTGGGCTCAGTCGGGCCTATTGAAAGTGGCCCACACTTTATTTGACTTAATTACCGTATTCAGTTATGTCTAACAATATTTCAGGCTATGGGTTTCGTGTGCGAGGTGATTGGCATAACTGAAATTTCCCATTTGCCCTGGCTATGAGTTTTTTGCACTCTCAGTTGCCCAGAATCGGCCTGATCTGTTCATCAATCAGTTGCCCTAGCTTCGATTCCAAAGGTGCTAGGAGCTGTGTGTGTGCGGTATGTTTGGTTTGCCAGCTCCCCTCAACTCCCCTGCCAGAGCTCGTCCCCATCACTGTGTGGCCCTGCTCCTCCTCTCGCCTCCCTCCTTCCCGCCTGCTGCACTGCTCCCTCTTTCACTTCCCACAAATGCCCCTGCTTTTTCTGCTGCGGCTCCCCTGTGCCTCCTTTGGTCACTCGCAGTATATCTGCCACTCCACACCTCTTCACACCTCTACACACCTTTCCATGCCTCCCCACCAGGCGCCAATGGGTTGGCCAACCCACGTGATTTCCAGACGCCCACCGCATGGTTTGACGACAGTTGCTGGCTTAGATACCTCTCAAATCCTCTCCACTCCTCTCCACTCCTCTCCATGCTCCCCCTACCCCCCACCAGGTGCCAATGGGCTGGCCAACCCACGTGACTTCCAGACGCCCACCGCATGGCGTGAGGATCACACTGCGGCTGCTGGCTCACATACCTCCCTGTGTCTCTGCATGCATTCCCCACCAGGTGCCAATGGGTTGGCCAACCCACGTGATTTCCAGACGCCCACCGCATGGCGTGAGGATCACACTGCGGCTGCTGGCTCACATACCTCCCTGTGTCTCTGCATGCATTCCCCACCAGGTGCCAATGGGTTGGCCAACCCACGTGATTTCCAGACGCCCACTGCATGGCGTGAGGATCACACTGCGGCTGCTGGCTCACATACCTCCCTGTGTCTCTGCATGCATTCCCCACCAGGTGCCAATGGGTTGGCCAACCCACGTGATTTCCAGACGCCCACCGCATGGCGTGAGGATCACACTGCGGCTGCTGGCTCACATACCTCCCTGTGTCTCTGCATGCATTCCCCACCAGGTGCCAATGGGTTGGCCAACCCACGTGATTTCCAGACGCCCACTGCATGGCGTGAGGATCACACTGCGGCTGCTGGCTCACATACCTCCCTGTGTCTCTGCATGCATTCCCCACCAGGTGCCAATGGGTTGGCCAACCCACGTGATTTCCAGACGCCCACCGCATGGTTCGAGAATGGTGCCGCTCCTGCTGGGTCGGTTGCGGTGCAGAATGGTGGAGACAGGGTGGTGCAGAGCGGTGGAGGGGGGTTCATGGTGGTGCACAAGTTTGCAGGGCGGCTGTTTGAGGCAAGGCAGGACTTTTCACCCTTCAATGTGGTGGCATGGCATGGCAACTACGTCCCTTACAAGGTGAACACCCCATGATCGCCGAATGACAGTATGACTTGCAAGCATCCTCTGACCACACATGGCATGGCAACCACCTTCCCTAAAAGTTGAGTCATCCACACTTGCCCTTGCCACTCGCCGTCCCCGACAGTTCACTCACACTCGCGCCTGGCTGCCCTTGCACTCACCAGTGCCGTTCCTGCTCTGTCCCTCTCTCCCGTCTCCCCATGCCCCTGTGCACCGCTGTCCGCTTGTTCCCCTGCGTGCTCCACACAGTACGATCTGAGTCGCTTCTGCCCCATGAACGCTGTGGCATTCACTGCTTCCCCCTGTGCCCCTCTCCCCCTGCCACCCTGCATGCCTCACTCACAGTACGATCTGACTCGCTTCTGCCCCATGAACGCTGTGGCATTCACTGCTTCCCCCTGTGCCCCTCTCCCCCTGCCACCCTGCATGCCTCACTCACAGTACGACCTGACTCGCTTCTGCCCCATGAACGCCGTCGCATTCGACCATCCCGACCCATCCATCTTCACAGGTGCGCCCCTCCATCCCCACTGCACCACCCACCACCTACCTGCACTGCACGCACCGCCCACCTGCGCCCACCACCCACCTGCACGCACCAATTCCGTCTGTGAACATCTTTCCTGTCACTCACTCCTTCCCGTAAAACCTTCCCCTACTTCCTCACCCTCTCGTTCCCTGCTAGTCATGTTCCGTCCACCCGATCTTCCTCGCTTCACCCCTCTGCTCTTCTCCATCCACCTCTTCACTTCTCTTCCGCTCCCCTCCCCTCACATGTCTCTGCCTGCAGTGCTGCTGACCTGCCCCACCACGTGCCCCAGCGTCGCAGCGGTGGGCTTTGTGCTCTTCCCACCGCGCTGGGCCGTGTGGCCTCCGTCCCAGCCTTTTTACCCCCCCCTCTTTCTCGCCCCCCACTCACCCCCCTGCAGTGCTCACCTGCCCCACCACCCGCCCCGGCGTTGCAGCCGTAGACTTTGTGCTCTTCCCGCCGCGCTGGGCCGTGGCGGAGGGCACGTTCCGCCCGCCCTACTTCCACCGCAACTGCATGAGCGAGTTCATGGGGCTTATAACGGGGACGTACGAGGTGAGTCTATCAATTGCCTTATAGGGACGTACGAGCTGAGAGCTGAGCCGTGTCAACGGGCCATCCGGCCTACTTCCACTGCAACTGCATGAGCGAGTTCATGGGGCTTATAACGGGGGCGTATGAGGTGGGTGAGCACTGAGCTTATAACGGGGATAAGTACATAGCTTGCTTATGAGCGAGTTCATGGGGCTTATAGCGGGGATGTATTGAGGTGGGTGGCCTTGTAACCAGGATAAGTGCAGAGGTTTTTTTATGATTGTGCTCATGGGCCTTATAACGGGGACATATGAGGTGAGTCCATTCATGGGGGCTTAAAGGGGACGTACAAGGTGAGAGGTGGAGGGCCAGTTTTGTCCGAACTACTTCCACCGTAACTGCATTCGAATTTATGGGGCTTATAACGGACGTACGAGGTGAGTGTGTTCATGGGCTTATAAGGGGGATGCAGGAGCTGAGCACTGGGCCGTGGCGGAGGGCCCGCCCTACTTCCGCTGCAACTGCATGAGCGAGTTCATGGGGCTTATATCAGGGACGTACAAGGTGGGTGGGCTTATAACGGGGATAAGTGCATAGCTTCAATTCATAAGCTTATAACAGGGATATATGAGTGAGTTCAAGGGGCTTATAACCAGGACGCAGGAGCTGAGATCATTTGTGGGGCTTTAACAGGGACATACGGTGTGCTCATGGGACTAATAATTGGTTGTACGAGATGATTCTGATGGTCTTATCATTGGGTAGTATGATGTGAGTCCGTGGGCTTCTCAAGTTTTTATGAGGTGAGTCTGCAGGGCTGATAATGGGGACATGCGCAGGTGAGTACATGTGGTGCCTGGGTCTCTGTCGTGTCGTGTATTTCTGGCAAAACTTGAAATCACACATTTTCCATTCTCTTATCTCTGCACATTTTTATAACCCATTCCCTCGCTGTACATTGTATGTCTTCCCTCTCCCCGCCTTTCCTACATCAATCCATACCTGCCTCTGGTTCTCCCATGCAACTCCATTGTGCCCTCGTTGTTTAGACTCGCTCCCCCCAGCTCACTCGTTGTGTTGTTTCTCGCCCAGCCTCCTTGTTCACTCTTTCCTCCACCCTCGCTCCCACCCAGCTAACTGCACCACCTTCTCTCATCACACGTACCCTCTCCCTCCAGCCATCACGCCTGTCCCCTCCCTCCTTCTCTTTACCCCCTCCCTTCTCCTTCACACCTACCCCCCCTGTCCTTTGCATCTTCACCATCCCCCTCCTCCCTCAATCGTATGCTCCTCCCTCACACCTCTGCATTATCCCGCACCCATACTCTCCTCCCTCCCATTTCCCCACCATCCTCCCCTCTGCCTTGGCCATACATGCAGGCCAAGGCAGAGGGATTTGAGCCAGGGGGAGCAAGCCTGCACAGCTGCATGACGCCCCACGGCCCTGACACTGCCACCTTTGAGGTGAGAGCTCCCCTCTGCGGTGTTCAACTCTTGGTGTTTGCTTTCAACCCTTTGAAAACTTCAGCTGTGTGCGTTGCACTTTGTGTGCATGCCACTCTGTGAGCATGGTCCACCGCACTTACACGCCCCTCCCTCCCAATACAGCGAGCCGTGGCAGAGGAGGAGGGCGACAGCATGCCCGAGCGAGTGCACGAGGGGTCGCAGGCATTCATGCTGGAGTTGTGTGCAGTGCACTGTGTGTGCATACCACTCTCTAAGCACTGTCTTCCTCACCCGCCCCACTCCCCACTCCCTCCACGCCCCTCTTCCCCAAGCAGCGAGCTGTGGCGGAGGAGGGCGACAGCCATCCGGAGCGAGTGCACGAGGGGTCGCCAGCGTTCATGCTGGAATCGTGCTTCACACCGCGCGTCACACACACCATGCTCAACTCATCGCTGCCTTATAACTCATGCTTCCCTTGTGCATACCACTTTCTGAGCATTGTATTCTGGCCCTCCACGCCCTGCCCCCCTCCATATCTCTCTCTCCCATGCAGCGGGCCGTGGCAGAGGAGGGCGACAGCAAGCCGGAACAAGTCCACAAGGGGTCGCTGGCGTTCATGTTGGAGTCGTGCTTCACACCGCGCGTCACACACACCATGCTCAACTCGCCTCTGCTTGACGCCGATTATTACCAGTGCTGGCAGGGCCTCCGCTCGCACTTCACTGGCCTGTCGGTGTGACTGTTGTGTAAATTCTGCGCCCATCCCCATTTGTGCATAGTGTATATAGTGTTCCGTGTAAATTCCTGGTTTTGTTTGTTGTTTTTTTTTACGGTAGATTGGAAGGCTGTTATTTTATGAAATGGAACAAGCCTCTTAGCGAAGGAAATTATTGATATTGTGATTTTCAATTAGTCTGCACAACAACCCCAAAGATGCCTTCATTAGTATGCACAACACCATTACATGCCACAAACATTATGTACAGCTACTGTTTTTTACGTTACAAGCAGGTAGAGGAAACATAACTTTGCTATGCTATCCCTCATAGCCCATCAAAGCTTTTCTCTTGTTCTTACCCCTGTTTTTCCGATGGCAGTGACTTGCTTAATCTCCTACTCCTCATGTTCCCCTTTCCCTTGTCATTTCTCTTTCTCTTCTCCGCCTCCCTCCTCGCCCTCTCAGCTTCCTTCCTTTTCGCCTTGTCCTTTGCCGCCCTCGCCTTTCTCTCCGCTTTCTGCCTTCTCTTCTTTGCATCCTCCTTTTCCTTCCTAGCTCTGTCCTTTGCTCGCTGCTGCCTCTCCCTCCGCTCTCTCGCCTTCTTCTCTTTCTGTGTCAGTCTCCTCGGCCCAGTCACTCCCCTCCTATGCTTTCCTCCACTGACAGCCCCCCCAATCTTCTCCCTTCCCTTCTCCACTCCTGTCTCCTCACCCTTCTCCCCCCCCATCTCCCCATCAATTCCCCTTCCTTCCTCTAACGGCCCGCCACTGTCATTTCTAGCAGCTTCTCCTCCCTTCTCCAATGGGCTCCCACTCTTATTGGACGCGTCTGGTGATTTTGAAGTGGTGTTTCCTGAGGTGGAATATCCGCTCGCAGCAACAGTGTTGGCAACTGGTGCAGTGGAATCGCCACCTTTCGCTGCACCATCAGCAACAGCAGCAGTAGAGCCAGCAGCAGACACTGGGTCTTTCTGGATCGTCGCCCATTCATCAAGGGCTGCAATCAGCGTAAACACAAGCACCAAGAGTAAGGGAGGGAATTAAACAAATAATGAGCGGAAGCTAGCCGGCCTTTTATGAATCTTCCAACCTTGTAAATCGGCCTCAAACAATATGAAAACTAATGCTAGAAGAAGCAAACGAGGGGTGACCAATGAAGAGATTTTCTTCCACACTATTCCAGCAATTTCTTACCTGAGCACTTGCTGTGAACCAAGTCCTCACTCATGCTCCGGTTGACTGGGATGCTGTCACTCAGTCGCAGGTAGGACCCGTAGCGGCCCAACGAACTCCAACTCCCGAATGGAGTGGCCGCTCGTGTGGTAACCCCGACAACATCCCCTAAAGGGCAATCGTTCTTCCCATCGCAAACCTCTGCTGCATCAATATAGACGTCAACCCACACGTGACCTCCTTCCGCTTCAAACCCAGAAAAAAATAAACCCAGCAGAAGCGTGAGAAGCGTCGTCGACGCTGCTAATAACGGCCTGAACGGCAGAATTCGATGCGCCATTATCAAGATGAGCTACCGCTGCCAGCTCGTGATGGCGTTTTCGATCTTCGAATGGATGATGGCGCGGCGAGTCTTGTTCAGCAATGATGACCTCGGCGTTTGAAAACGACTCCAACTGTCGAATATTCACGCACGATAATGTGACCTTCTATAAAGGGAACTGGTAATAGACGACACGAGTTTTAGGATGCTGCGGCGCGCCTCGCGGTCTGAGTAATGGGCAGAGATAAGATGTCGAGCTTACTAATATTAAGGAGAAACAAGTGTGCGATGATCTGGAGCAGCGTTGCGTGTAAATGTTGTGACGTGGCGCTAAAAAGGAAATTTCCGTGCCGAAGTCGCTGTCAAAAAGCAGGTCGAGCTGTGCCGCGGTCGCCGAGAGTCCACGCAAACATTTCTTGCTACTGTACTACCCAATGCGTAGGACACGTTTTATCGGTACAGTCACGTGGCGCGCGTCACGGTCTGAAACTGAGTGCTGGCAGAAATAAAGCGTTGAACGATTATGAAAAGAGAATTGAAGGTTGGTTATTTGTGCCTTTCTATCCAGAAGCATGAAGAGGTTGAATGCGGAGTTGGAGGGATAAGAGGAATGGGGAAAGAGGGAGGTGGAGTTGAATGGGGGGTGGAAGAGGGAGGTGGTGTTGAATGGGGGGTGGAAGAGGGAGGTGGTGTTGAATGGGGGGTGGAAGAGGGAGGTGGTGTTGAATGGGGGGTGGAAGAGGGAGTTGGAGAAGAAGGGTGGTGCTGTGCTGTTTGAAACCTGTTGTGCTGTTTGAAACTTGCCGAGCTGTTTGAAACCTGTTGGGCCGAGGCGCACAACCGTGGAAATTGCCGTGCCCTGCTGTCAAAAGGTGGTTGGAAGGTGTGGGCGGATCCAAGAATGTACGTATCGCAGAAAACCCTACTCAACCATCGTTTGTTATATTAGACCACTCTGGCTTGGCTCCAAAACTTTTTCAACCGCGTTCGGACGTACCCCCTGGATACGCCCGCGAAAAGCAGTTTTGCCTGCAAAGATTCATCTGAAAGATTTACCAAGTGGGTCTGTGAAATTCACCGATGTGCCACACTGGCAACAATAATTCCTGCCAAAACATGCTGAAAATGTTGCCAGCACGTGCGCCCCCGTGGCAATTTCTCCAGGCGCGTCAGTGAGGTTTGCTTTTGGCGCGTTAGTGGCGTGGCGATTCCACCAGAAAAATGCACAGATTGGCCAAGTGGCATTTTGTTCAGTACAAAAATTATTTGGTCCCTCCTATAAGAAGTTGGACTGAATTTGGGATAGGCATATAATTGGCAACCTGCTATAAGCCCATTTTACGATTATAACACAGGCCTGGGCTTCTATCCCGGGGATGACAGTACGCTTGGTGAAAAAGACAGCTGGTGAATAAGACAGCTGGTAAAAAAAAAAAAAAACACACATCTATTGCCATTCATTTGTTCCATACGCGCATAAACCTGCAGATATATCCAAGGAATGATGGCATGAAAGAACAAAGAATATGAAGAATCAAGCTTCAACCCTAGTGTATCCTTGTAACCAGCTCCAGAGTCTCCAATTGACCTGCCTTGCCTCTCTCCACTCAACTTCCCCAAACTCACCAGCTGAGTTCCCACCAGTCCCTCCTAATCCCAAATCTCCTGCTGCTGTCCATCATGCAACCCTGTGCCATCTGCAAAAATGCCAGCTCAGCTCTCACAGACGCCTCCTCCCTGCCCCTCTTCTCCCTCTCTCCTGTGTCGCCCTGTGGCTCCTTCTTATCCCACCCTATCCCAGCGACAACGCCTCCCAGTTGAGTGTCACACGATGCCTAAGATGACTCCTGCCCTGCTTTGCAGCTCCAGGTGCCGAAAAATTTACAGGTAGAAAGACAATTTTTTAGGTGCCTTCAGAGCCCTCCTGCTCAGGCTTCTCCCTCTGCTGCTACACCGTTTAACCAGCTGCAGTTTCTCCCGCTACTGTCACGCTTTGCAACCCTGTCCTATCCCACCATTCTACCCCTTCAACCTTGCCATCTCAGCTCTCACTGTTGCCTCCTGCTCCAACTTATCCCTCTGAGCCGCGTCCAGCCCCGCTGTGCTGCTCTCCCACCACTGCCACACCTCGTAACCACCTGCATTTTCTCCCTCTAACCTGCCTTCCCTCGCCCCGCTCTACCCCTACAAGCTCCCCAGTTCAGCTCTCACTGCTGCCTCTTGCCCCAGCTTCTCAAGCTGCGCTGCATCCAGCCCCGCCGTGCTGCCCCCAGCTGCTGCCACCCGCGCCTTGAGCTCCTCAATCTGCCGCAGCCGCTTCCCCAGATTGCGCACCCTCTTCGCCTTCTCTGCTGCCTCGTCGGTGCCGCTGCCTTGCCCTGCTCGGGGGGAAACGATGGGTTGAATAGGCACGGAATGGGGGCTATGATCTGCCGCAGCCACTTCCCCAGCTTGTCCACCCTCTTCGCCCTCTCTGCTGCCTCGTCTGCATGGGAGGAGTGGGGAAGGAGTGCCGTTAATGAGAACGCTTTCAGCTTCTATATCTGCCACGGCTGCTTCCCCAGGTTGCGTACTCTCTTGGCTTTCTATGCTGCCTCGTATGTTCCTTGTCCTGCTGCTGCTGCCTGTCGGTGCTCAGCTGGTAGACAGTGCATGCAATGTCCGCATACAGTTGTTCCATTGCTGCCCAGGCCGTGGCTGCTGCAGCACTTCTCCAGGGGTAACTTCCCAAGGCTGCTACAGATAGCAACGACTACGGCATGGGGTGCATGTGCCAAGGCAAGGTAATGGTCTTTGTTAGAACAGTGGCGTGTCCAAAAGGACATTGGAGGCGTCTCAAAAGTGTCCAAACAGAAATATTACCTTGTGGTGCTTGCTGCTCCTGCTGGGCCTTGGCCCCATCGTCAATGCTGAGTGCCGCCACACTAGGAGCCTGCTGGTTCGCCTGCTTGCTGTGACTAGCCTGCAACCTTCATAGATGCGGAGAATAGTATTCTACGGGAGAGCTGAATTGCGTGGGACGCACGGTCAGAGTTCTGACAGTGATTCTTGACAGAGTGTTGGAATGCCTTGGTAGAAATTAAGCATAGTTTCACTAAGGAAAGTTGATAGAACAAGATTAGAATACAAGCAAAGAGAACCAAATAGCAGAAGACAGAACCCTGAAGAGAACGTTCCTCGGCATACACTTGACTCTGTCGAGTCAGCAACGGCAGGTGAAACGACAAGCACATGCACCTTTCACCTGAGTTGGCAGTTGCTCAGGTTTTACAACATTCATAGTTGTATACGTTTTTGTAGTTAGCAAAAACGAGTTTCAGGTTCTGTTCTTTAGCAGATTCGAATTCTCCTGGGGAGTACAATTTCCGAGATTACCTGATTGGTCGAAATTTGCTGTTTCGCGATTGGTCGAAATTCGCGTACATTGCGAATTTCGGAGCCAAGTAATTCTGGTCGACCAGAATCGCTCTGCTCGACGAAACACTCGTCGAACTCAATTCTGTCGACCAGCAATCCGTCGAAACACCAATTCTGCCAATTCCGTCTATCAGAAAGGCTCGTCTTCGACGCCGTTTTACTCCCGTCGAGGACTTTGATCGAAAACACTTAATTAATATCGTCGACATCCGACCCGTCGCACACAGATAAAAGTCCCCGAAGTCTCCGATGACCACGAAACGAACACCGTCTTGTTCCGAAATGCCTGGTCGACTTCGCCCAAGCGAGGGCGGGACCTTTTCTCTTCGACACTCCCCTGCCCAGCTCACGCTTGGGCGCCCACACAGAAGGTCCACCCAGAACCCAGAGGGATAGAATACAAGGAGAAAATTCCTTCTACGTGCACCGAACTCATAGCACGTAGATCACCGCACCAGCCGTGCAGAAAGGGCACGACACCTACTGCTGCACCTCGTCATCCCCGTCGCCCACGTCGGCCAGACGCACTTGGCCGATTGCGACGGAGCACCGGTTGAAAGCCGGAAAATGCAGCGCCTTCGTCAGAAAATCTGCCGGCTGCTCGGAGGTCGGGATGTACTGCAGAGCAATCTTCCCGCGCTTCACCATCTGCTGCAGCCAGGCGTAGCGTCGCTCCATGTGCTTGAGGTTGCCCTTGAGCCCCAAGCCCTCTGCGACAGTGATCGCCGACTGGTTGTCCACGTGCAGAACAGTCGGCTTCCTTAGGTCGAGCAGTCGGAACTCTGCAAGGAGGAAGCGTAGACGGCGAGCCTCCTTGCCGGCTTCGGTGGCCGCGACGTACTCTGACTCGGTCGACGAGAGCGTCGCGCACTTGATGCGCTGGCTCGACCAAGAGACTACGGCTCCTCCGAAGACGAAAACGTAGCCGCCCGTGCTCGTCCGATTCTGCTTGTCGCCAGCGTCGTCGGCATCTGCATAGCCGACCAGACACAGCGACTCTGGTCCTCCACCGAACTCCAGAGCGGCGTCACGAGTTTCAGCGAGGTAGTGCAGACAGCGGTCGGACCTCGCGCCAGTGGTTATCGCTCCGCACCGTCAGGCCGGATCCAAGCTGTTAAAGTTTAGAAGAAAGAAGAGGGGATGCACTAGCAAGAATGGGGATACAAATAGGAAACCCTAGAAGGGTTGTACTCGCTATAGAGCACCCCACTACAGGCTAGAGCATAAGATAACATTCTGACACACCCCCATAGCCAAAGTGGGGTGTAATCAGCAGAGTAAGCAAAGGAGTACAAGCTCAGGGTGGATCACAATGTCACCACACATTCTGAGCACAAGTTCAAGAAGCAATAGTTTAAGTTCACAATTATGAGCAAAGCTAGTGGTAGTCACAACGGGCAAGTGAGGAGGAGGAGAGAGAGTGAGAGGAGAGGAGATAGGAGGCGACGGCTGAAGCTGCAGACACACAGGCAACAGGAGGCAGACTGGCACAGCGGCTACCGGACGAAGTCCCCGGAATACAGGAGTAACAGGCCCCGCGGCTAAAGTAGCGGCAGACGAGCAACGGACCCACGGGCGGCTGGCACAGCTGGCTACGACTGGGCTACCGGACGAAGTCCCCGGAATACAGGTGCTGCTGGCGACACGACGGCAACCTCCATTCAGCTTCCCCAAACTATCCCACTCCCCCCTGGCACATACCCGCTGCTACACCGCTAGCTCCACTCCCCCTTCACCCCCCCTTAGTACCACTCCACCGGCTCCAACACGTCCACCCCCCCTCAGCGGCAGCTGCAGCACAGGGAGACGGAGGAGGAGGAGGAGCAGGGAACAGTACACAGTGGGTGCACCCCCATACCCCGCACCCCCAAACCCTAATACAGGAGAATGGGGAGTAGGAGGGGTGGGGCACGAGTAGAAGCGCTGGGGGACAGTAGGGAGGGCAGGGGCAGCAAGGAGCGGGCCCACCACGGGCCTGGTAGGGTCGCCCGAACCGCGCGTAGGCGGCCTGAGCCGCGCGCGGGCCTGGCGCCGCCCGTACGGGCCGCGCGCGGGCCTGGCGCAGCCCGTACGGGTGGCGCGCGGGCCTGGCGCAGCCCGTACGGGTCGCGCGCGGGCCTGGCGCAGCCCGTACGGGTCGCGGGCTGGCCTGGCGCAGCCCGTACGGGTCGCGCGCTGCCTGTACGGGCCGCGCGCAGGCCACGACGGGCGACGGGGGGGCGACGAACGGGTCCCCGTCGCCCGTCGCGGCGCCTCCCGAGGGCGACGCGACGGTTGACGGGGCCGAAGCCCGCCGCGCGCCTCGGGGCGCACAGCGGGCAGAGAACCGCCGCGCGCCTCGGGGCGCACGGCGGGCAGAAAACCGCCGCGCGCCTCGGGGCGCACGGCGGGAAGAAAACCGCCGCGCGCCTCGGGGCGCACGGCGGGAAGAAAACTGCCACACGCCACGGGGCGTGCGGCACCGAGTGTAGTGGTAGGAGTTGCAGCGGAAGCTAGGAGGTGGTAAGCCCACCCACAGGATCGATCCAAGGGGATCGACCTGCTCTGATAGCATGTTTAAGTTTAGAAGAAAGAAGAGGGGATGCACTAGCAAGAATGGGGATACAAATAGGAAACCCTAGAAGGGTTGTACTCGCTATAGAGCACCCCATTACAGGCTAGAGCATAAGATAACATTCTGACACAAGCTTGCTGCAAGCAAAAGCAATGTCGGGCCTAGTCGTGGTGGCCGCGAACTGCAGCGAGCCGACCTTCTGCCGGTACTCTGCTTCCTCGCGCGACTGAAACTCCTCGTCGTCGAACACCAGCTCTGCGTAGGCGTCGACGGAGACCGGCGTCTTCGGCACTCGCCCGGTCTGCTCCTCGTCGATGAAGCGCCGACGCAGCTTGTCGACGTAGGCTTGCTGGTGAAGCCATAGCTTCCTCGCAGGTCGGTCGCGCACGATCTCCAGCCCGAGATACTTCTCGACCGGGTTGATTTCGCGCAGCTCAAAGGCGGCCTCCAGCAGCTCCTTCAGCTCCTTCAGCATCGCAGTGCTGCTGCTGGCGGCGAGCAGATCGTCGACGTAGACGAGCACCCAGCACGCCACTCCGTCGTCGCCGACCTTGAAGTAGAGCGCTTCGTCTACCTGGCTCTTGCTCCAGCCAGCGCCGATCAGCACCGCGTCGAGCGCCGAGTACCACAGCAGCGGACTCTGCTTCAGTCCGTAGAGGCTCTTCAGCAACTTGCAGACGCGGCCGGTGCCGTCGTTGTAGTAGCTGGGCTGGTCCATGTAGAGTACGCGATCGAGCTTGCTCTGCAGGAAAGCGTTCTTCATGTCGAGTTGCATCAGGTGCAGGTCGAGGACGGCTACGATGCTGAGGAAGATCCGCAGAGTTACGTAGCTCCCCACCGGCGCGTACGTTTCGTCGTAGTCTGCACCGTAGATCTGTGTGAAGCCCTTCACCACCAGACGCGCCTTCTCGCGGGCGACCGTGTCATCGACGTGGTACTTCGTCGTGAGTACCCAACGATTCTTCATGACATTGACACCACGCGGACGCTCGACCAGCTCCCACGTCCCGTTGGAGATGAGGCTCTTGATCTCCTCGTCCATGGCGGCCTTCACCGCCTTGCCCTTCCAGCTCGCCAATGCCTCCTTCACCGTCATGTTGGCGATATCCCAGCGATGCTCTGGGTCAGCATGCATGTCGGGGTCGAGCTCGGGAAGATCAATGTCGTCCTCTGCGTCGTCGAGCAGAGTGCTGTAGGCCGTCGGCGGCAGACAAGCGTGGTAGCTCAGCTTCTCAGGCGGCTTGCCGAAGTTGGAGCGGGTAGAATGCCGCTGCTTCACTTCTTCGACCGGAACCTCCACCACGTCACTGTCCTCAGACTGCTCCCCTGCCAACAGCTTTTTACCGTCGCCGACCACACCGACGACTTCCACAACATCGCTCGACGAGCCGTCGTCGAGCTGCTCCCCTGCCGGCAGCTCCTCTACCGATGGCTCCCCCGAGGTCGGCGCCTCTGCCGACGGCTTCTCTACGGTCGGCGCCTCTGCAGACATCTTCTCTGCGGTCGGCGCCTCTGCAGACGGCGTCTCTGCCATCTTCTTCGACGTCGACGGCTCCCCTGTCATCTGCCGCTTCCCGTCGCTGACCTTCTCGGCGTCACGTTGGCCACCGACGATGTAACCGGTCGGCGCCGCAGGCGACGCACCGAGTCTCCCCTCATCGCCGGCGGCAGACGAGGAGCCCTGCACAGGGGGAGGGAGGGAGGGGGTG